AGTTTAATCCCGAATCAAGGAAAAGAATGACTCTGTATTACAGTATGCGAACCAGAAATCTGGATAAGGAATTCTGTTAACCCGGGAGAAGGTGTTAGGCATTCCCGAGTTCCGTGGTTCTAGCACGGTCGCTCAACTGTCATATTCGGCTTATTTATCTGATTTTAATTAATATTGAACCTATGTGCAAATTTAAACTTTTTACCGCTTTTATTATTATTATTATTATTTTTCAACGAGAATTGCAATGTCGTGAAAATACATCTCGAACCACGTCACATCAATGCGCCCGTGGTTGTTGACACATCTCGACTCCGTTGAGACTTAGATTTGGGTCACATAAATGTGCACCCGAGTTTAAGAAAATAAATTATTAAAGGCGCGCCTAAAGCGACTAGCGTATCGTTATTTTGGGTAAGGCCGTAAAATTTTGCTAAACAGCCCATCCCGAAGTCTAAGTAATTTTACCAACACGTATAGAGGTCCCCGCAGCTTGTGCACTTTGTTTGTCGAGGCTCGTCTCATTCATTATTCTTTTAAAGAATTTGCAACGTCGTGGAAATGCATCTCGAACCACGTCACAATCAATGTACCAGTGATTAGAGACATATTTCAGCGCCGTTGAGATTTGGATTTGAATCACATAAATGTGCACTCGAGTTTAGGGAGGTAACATTATTAAATACGCGCCTAAAGAGACTAACGCGTGGTTATTTTGGGAAAAGGCCGTGAAGTTCGCGAAGCGGCCGATCCCAAGTTCTAAGTAATTAGCACATACATTTTGTGAGGACCCCGCAATCTGTGCGTTTTATTTGGCGAGGCTCGCCTCATTTTTATTTAAGAGGATAAGCCTACAATGACTACATTTTTTCTATTAAGTTCGTCTCTAAAATAAAAGTAAATCTCCAAATTAATTACATGCTAAAAAAAAAGACGTAACTTATTAGTTCTTAGTTTACGGCTAATGCAAATGGAAAATTGCAATCGAGTTTGTACAAAGAGAGATTGCTTTCGTTCTATATTCTATTATTTAATAACACTAGAACATGAGATTGACACACAATAATATCAAAACAAATTAACTATTCTTTGATTAATTTAAACTAACATTATTAGATGAAGGAGTTATTATACATATGCAACCTCATTACTCATTAATCAGTCAATTACATTTTTATACGAAGAAAAGAAAACTATATTCAAGCACAAATCTAAAGAGGAGGAATTCAACAGGAACAAAGCCTGGTCAATACTTCATTTCGCCTCAAGCCAAGAGTGTACAAATGTGTACCTGGAAATGGTAATACAATGAGAAAAGAAGAGAGGAAGGTCAGCAGCAGCAGTAACCAACAACAACACAACAACAATGCAAACCATCGATAACCAGCAGCGACTCAGGAAACCAAGTTAAAATTCCCAGCAATACCAACAACAACACAAACCAAATTCGAGGCCCAGAAAATAAATTTGAAGAAAACCCAACGAGCTTGATGGAACAGCCCCAAAAGTTTGTAAAAGACTAAACAACAAAGAAAGAATTCTCCCCTTTTACGATTTTTTTTTAAAATGAGTTCTATCTCTGTATATCTAGTGTATCCAGAGTGTATATTGGGTGTATACTGCGCACTCTTTAGATTTCATTCTGTTCCGAAAATCCCCAATTCCCTCTCAATGTTCAGAAAATCCCCCCCTCACTTGTGTGAAACTCCCCTTATTTATAGCCAAACTTGAAGCACTTAAATTAATCCCACCATCTTCTCCCCATCCCCCTTTTAAATCCCACTACTTAATGTTTTGTCCCTCACTATATTAAACAAATATATTAGTTTCCACTACCACATGTCTTGTCCCCACTATATTAAACAAATATATTAACTCCCACTACCACATGTCTTGTCCCACACCATATATTATTTTAATATTATTAATGCCTAGTGGACGAAGCACTTCAAATTAATTATTTTTTAAGACTTTAAATCCCAAAAATACCCCTAAAATTACTGAGCGGGTAGCTTGGGTTATGGGGCGGACCGGGTCGGGTTGACCCGCTGGGTGGTTCGGTTTTTTGGATCTGTGGTTTAAAATTGAAGAAAAGGCTCAATCCGATTTTCGTCTATTTTTGTTCTTTTCTATTTATTCAATTTCCTAATTAATAAAGCTAAAATGCTAAGATTAAATTATGAAAACCCAGAATTATCTAAAAATACTAATTAACTCCTAATAACAATTATCACACATAATTAAATACTAATTAAACATAAAATTGTACAATTGGACATTAAATGCTAAAAATGCAAACATACATTATTTTTTGTGATTTTTCCCTTTTATAAAATAAACTTAATTACTCATAATTGTAGAATTAAATCCTAAATGCAATTGCAATATATTTTTGTATTTTTTATTAATTTAACAAATAAATATGTACAGACAAATATAAATAATTAAAGAAAAATAACCCAAAATTCATAACAATTGCAAACAAACAAAAATTATTTTATTTTAAATTTTTGGGAGTAATTCTTATAAAGGGTAAAAATTACGTGCTCACACAGTGCATTTTTCTTTTCCAGAAAATTAAAGAATTGTTGAAATCACCAATTAATGCCGACAACGCTTCCTCCTTCGCTTGAAATTTCAAAATCAAATAGCTGAAGGTTTCGTTCCTCAGACATAATCTTTAGCTGCTAACCAAAATTGAAGATACAAGTATTCAAAATATTCAAGACTTTTGAAGTAATCAAAGTGGGGGCATTCAATATTACTGGAGATAAGTTGTGGTTCGAATGAACTATTTCTTCAAATTATTTTTCTGATTTTAATAAATAATGGTTTGATTAGAGATGTATATCATTGTTTCTTCGAGTGCTTATTTGCAATTGTGATTCTTTTATTGATTTGCTTACATCAATTAATGAATTTTTTTTATAGTCATTGTCTACTTAATACGATAATCAATATGAGCACGCAAATTAATGTAAATTTGTCGCTGTAGAAAGGAGTAAAGATATCCGGTTGGTACGGGAATCAATAACGTGGACGGTGGATGGATCGAATAAGTTAAAAACAACTATGGAGTAAAATATTGGAAAAATTTCATATAACAACAACTTCGCTTCCGGTTTTTTAACTTTATAGCCTATATTTCAATTTACAACCAACTAGCCCATAAATAATAGTCAAATACCTAACATTCAACTCCAATAAATTCTTGAAATTGCTATTTAATTTTTTAAAAAAATTGCTCAAACTTTTAAGTTAATTTTTGAATCAATAACTGTGACTCAAATATTAGTTCAACAAACCAAATCCATTTGAGTGGTGAAAATTAGAATTTTAACAAGCTAAAACATGTGGGTTTAAATTTCGAATTTGATTTTGTAAGAAATTTAGAGTGAGTGTTATTTAGACTTGTTAGAAATAGTATAAGGAGGTTGTATATAAAATTTGAAGTCATTTAATGGAGATTTGGACTGGTTTTGAACAAGAATTGTAACTGAAAATCGTGGAAGAAGTTCGTCTACAGATGCTTGTATAAAGGTGTATAAAAGTGTATAATAGTGTATAAGATGTGTTTATACACTCATATACACTATTATACAAGATTATACAAAAAACTTACTTCGTCTTCTACCTTGCGTTTTTTCTGAATTTTAACTCAAATCTTGCTCAAATCTATTCCAAATCACTTCAAATTTAAATTTTGAACTCCTTTTGATATTTTCAATCAATTGGAACACCACCCCATCCAAATAACTAACAAACTCAAAAAATCCTATTTTCGAAAGCAAAGCTTTGAATGGCCTTCAATGGTGGACTTCTTCTCTTTAATTTTCTGACGTTGATAGGCATAAGCAGAAAATACACTAGCTTTTAGAAGCAATGGTTATAAGAACACAGATTTTAAATTTTCTAATGCTTTCAAAATATGTAAAATATAGGCTAGGTAGGGTAAAACTTAAAAACATGGGCCATTTTTTGTTATGGTGTAAAGTCATGTGTATTTTCTTGTAATTCTTTCTAAAATATTAGTCGAATGCTAAAATGACAGATTAAGCAATTATTTCTATTGAGGAAAAAATATACTACCTCCGTTTCAATTTATCGTGAACCTATTTGACTAGGCACGAAGTTTAAGAAAAAAGAGAAGACTTTTGAACTTATGGTGTAAAATGAGGCACATATATTTTGTGTGGCTATAAATCATTGCATAATGGTAAATTGTTTCTAAATAAGGAAAGGGTCATTCTTTTTGGTACAGACCAAAAAGGAAATAGGTTCAAATAAATTGAAACAGAGAGAGTATTAAAATGGTTACAGCTAGTGGTGGATTTGTGACCTTAATTAAAGAATGATTAATGACTTTGGCGTGATACTTGAGGAAAGTTGAGTGATTCATACTTTTTCTAGTTAATATTTTTATTTTCCATCGGATTCCTCATGAGCCGTCCTAACTATTTCTGAACATCTTTTTGTCATTTCAATATACAACGTTTTTTATATGTCAACTTGATGGCTGATTTTAGAAGACTCTCAGATTACTGTTTCTCCGAATGATTATTTAAATATAAAGAGTAGTCCGGTCCATAAAGCATCACGATTTCATGTAGAATCTCGGTAAGGGCCATATCCCACGGGTGTAATAAGCCGACTACCCTCATACAAGCAGCTGTGGTGCCTTACCGTACCGTAGGCGGATGCATGGTGGCGTTCGTGGTGGTGTTTCAGAATTCCAATATATTGCGTCCAAGATCAGAACGAGCTTGTTGACGAACCACTGTCATCCCATTCTTGAGTGAGAACCATCTTATCCACCGAACTAACTAGAAGCTATCCCTTCCTGTCGAAGCACTAAAAGAAAATGACCGGAAAAGCGGCAGCATAGGAACCACGGGACCCACTAGTAAAGGGAAAATGAAAATGCGCTCTTGCTCACCAGTTGTAAAGGCCTTTCCTTTTTAATACTAAATAAATAAGGTAAACTTTATATATANCTTACCAGGCACTGACAATGGAACTCAAGACTTGGCTTCTGGTGGAATGAATGCTTTGCTTTCTGATCACCTGCGAATGAGGATTAAGCCTATTGAGCCAAGTATCCGCAAGATCTACGTTGATGTTCTGCAAGCTTTAAAGTCAACATCACAATCAGGATGGCGTCCCGATATCCAAAATGAGAATACAACAAACAGTGAAACTGCCTTTTTGGAGACTGTCCTGCACAACTTGGTGGAGCTGCCAACAATTGGTAATGCTACAGTTGCTTTGAAAGATGAAACATCAAACCTTCAGGAGATGCTCAACTTCTTGCGAGCCAATCTCCCCTGTATTGAATCTCATTTTGAAGATCTCCACATTATGATTATTGATGCTGGAATTCTAGTTTACTCGTTGTATGATGTTGCATCGGCCAAAGTGAGCCAAGCACTTCTTGATTTTCCCGGAAACATTCAGCATTTCAACACTCTGGTTTATCCCATAGTTCAGAAGGTATTCCAATCTAATTTGCCACGGATTCATGGAATAGGCTATGTTGATTTCCTTTTAAGCAACCTGAATGAGTTTCAAGGTCGTTATTCAAAGTCACTTGTTTCTATCAAGAACCAACTTCAAATAATTCAGAAGGAACTTGAGAGCGTGCAACCTTTTCTCAAGGATGTTGCAAAAGAGCTACATAAGCACCACCAAATTCAACATTTGGCTCAGTTAGTGATTGGCACAGCATATGAAGTTGAATATATAGTCGATTCTTTTATCAGCAAAGAAGTTCCCGAGTGCTGTCTTGAGCGTTGGCTCGTTGATATCATAGAGGAAATTGAACTTAACAGTGCAAAAATAGATATTGAATTGAAGAAAACACCTGCAGTTGACATAGCATTACATGATCCCGTGGATGCAGCCGCTGCTCATACATCATCAGAATCTACGTCCCCAAAGAATGAAGAAATCGTGGGCTTTGATCATATCATTTCAGAATTAAGAAAGAAGCTAACTAAAGGATCCCAACAGCTAGACGTCATCTCGATTGTCGGCATGGGCGGACAAGGTAAGACGACATTGGCCAACAAACTCTTTAATGATGACTCAGTTAAATCTCGATTTGATAGTCGGGCGCAATGTTGCGTGTCGCAAGAGTATTCCTGTAGGTCCATTTTATTGGCCATTTTACGTGATCTTTCTTGTGATGACCCTGCTACTAGTGAGTTGTCTACTGAAGATCTACGAGATAAGCTTCAAAAAGTTTGTAAAGTGAAAAGATATCTTATCCTTATCGATGACATTTGGGAAGCTAGTGTGTGGGAAGATTTACAGCCTTGCTTTGCGGATGTTAAAAACGGAAGTCGAATTATTCTAACAACACGACAAGTTGAAGTTGCCAACTCAGCTAGAATTTCTTGTGAGCCCTTTCATCTTCCTATGTTTAAGGAAGATGAAAGTTGGAAATTGCTGAAAGTGAAAGTGTTTGGTAAAGAAGGATGCTCTCCTGATCTTGAAAAAGTTGGGCTAGAAATAGCAAAGAAGTGCGCAGGGCTGCCTCTTTCAATTGTTTTGGTGGCTGGTATTCTCGCAAAGGAAAAGAATGAACGATATTGGAGACAAGTCGCTAAGAATTTAGGTTCCCACATTCAAAGTGACGCAAAGGCTGTAATAGAGCACAGTTATAAACATTTACCCCATCATTTAAAGCCTTGCTTCCTTTATTTTGGAGCATTTTCAGAAGACAAGACGATCAATGTTTCAGACTTGACATGCTTATGGATCGCAGAAGGATTCATAAAAATTGATAAAGAGAAGAGTTTGGAGGATGTAGCATCAGATTACTTGGAGAATCTTATTGGACGAAATCTAGTGAAAATTGCAAAAAGGAGTTCTGATGGCAAGGTCAAAGCATGCCAGATCCATGATCTATTACTTGATTTCTGCAAGGAAACAGCTGAGCAGGAAAAGCTTCTACTCTGCATAGATAGGTAAAACTATAATTTTCTAGTTCTTTGTTTGTTCAATCAATCAAGTATTCCTGTTATATTTGAAATTTTAATCTTATGCTAATTTGATGTTCACAGGTACCAAAGTGCCAATCCTCCACCTGGCATTTACTCACACCGGCAGCTAGCTCAACGTCGCCTGTCCATTTATGCTGACAAGAATTATCTTGCAAAATGGAGTTCGTCTTGCTCACTTGTTGGGTCTGTACTTTGCAGGGATGATATCATAGAATACCTCTCTCCAACCTCGCGCATCTTTCAGAAATTCAAGTTTCTAAAAGTGTTGGATCTGAGGTTCATTGTTGTTGATTCTTTCCCAACAGAGCTGTTTTATTTGAGGTATTTTGCAGTACGAACTGCGAAGAAGTCAATTACATCATGCATAAGTAATCTATGGAACCTTGGGACTTTGATAGTCATAGGGGAAGGGACAGACTTGTCACTACCGTTTACACTCTGGAAGATGTCTAAATTGAGAATTCTGCATATTTGTGACAATGCTTATTTCACCATTAGTGGTGCAGAAGAATTACTTGAGAACTCCTCCAATCTTGACAATTTGGAGACTCTTTCCTGTCCATGTTTTTCTTGTGCGGAGGATGCAGAATTTGTATTGGGAAAGATGCCAAATATTCGGAATCTGAGATGCTCAATTAAGTATCCTAAAGGAAACTTTTGGGTCCTTCAATTGGAATTTCTAGCACAGCTTAAGACGCTCAAGGTTCATTTTGACGTGCATTCAGCCATAGCTGGTGCTTACATCTTCCCCTCAAGTCTCAACAAATTGACTTTGTCCACCATTTCCTGGGGCACTGGTTCAGAGATTGCTATGCTTCCCAATCTTCAGGTACTTAAACTGGTAAATGTTAAGTTTGATAAACGCGAATGGACAGTGAACGACAATGAGTTCCCTAAACTCAAAGTCTTGAAAGTAGTAAACTCTGATAATTTTAAGGAGTGGAATGTCTTGGATGATGCCTTTCCTTGTCTTGAACATTTGACATTGCATAAATGCCAATATCTTAAGGAGATCCCCTCTTGGTTCGCGGAAATCGCTTCTCTCAAGTTTGTTAGGGTAAGGTCTTGCAATGTAGCAGCTCTTGTTGCTTCACTCAAGGAGATCAGGACAATGCAAGTTGAAGATTACCAAAGATCTGAATTCCAGATCATCTTTGGCTAGTAGAATATGGATTGTTTATCAGGTACGCTACCGGTAAAATGCACCTACCACTAAATTCCTTTCTTATATTCTAATATGTTGCTTATACTTTGTTTGACAACTTTTCTTGAGCGTTATTATTTATTTATTTATTTATTGGGGGTACTGTTATATCTTTAACTTGGAAGGGCTATCAATATTTGAAAACGTAAAAAAAAAAATCGATCAACTTATTAAAATCTCTATCTATATATAATTATCTATGAAGTTCCTTCCTGATAACAGCTCTTTGGCCAGGAAAGCGCATATGATTTGGTTGTACTTGTGTTGACTATTATTGTTTGGTTTTACAGACGAGTTGTTGGCTTCCTCCATTCAATGCAAGGAGGAGCCAATAGAGAAGGTATACAAAAGGGGGGAAGAAATACTACATCGACATGCCAATTGATCATCGTATTGAGTAGACATTGACTACAAGAGCACAGTCTGTCATTCATTGATAGATCTAAACAAAATAAATATAAGAATCATTATATTTGAATAATAATTAGAAGAAACATTAGTGTAGGAGAGTAAGTATACATTTCTAAATCAGCCATCTAGTTGAATAGTTGATATGTCGAAAATTATTTCTTATTAAAATGAGAAGAAAACGTTCAGAAATAGTTAAGGCAACTAATGTGATCACAACCCTTAGGGGTTACCCAGTTGGTTTGGAGGGTGGTTATCCATAGGGATGACCTGGGATCGATTCCCCCCTCAATGCTCGCCTTCTGAGTTTGCGCTCACCGCAGAGTGCTCACCCGAAGGGAAGAGGCTCTGACAGAGATTGTAGCGGCTGCGGATTTCTCCTCTTACCAAAAAAACTCATGTGATCACTTAACTCCGTTGTTTTAGGGTTGATGCATTGTGAGATCTAAAAAAACTCATGTGATCACTTAACTCCGTTGTTTTAGGGTTGATGCATTGTGAGATCTAACGAGGCAGAGAAAACAAAAGTGAGGAATCCTATGAAAAATAAAAAACACCATACATAGATAGACACTTTGTTAAACTTGGTCACAATTGTCAATTTGACGCCACTTTCATAAATAGAAAATCTTATGTTTTAAGTTGGCCTACATGATCACTCAATAAGTTTTAAGTGTCAAACTGATACTTGAGGCCAAATTTTAAATGTCCATCCATGTGTTTTGCCAAAATAAAATATAATAAGAGCGACAAACCGAGTCAGACCAGTTATATATACAGAAAAGAAATGGTTGCTGAGTTTGTTTATGCGGAAGAGCATCTAGCAAGTGGAAGAAAATTACTTTAACTCTAATTGAGACGAAAGGAATTTTAAGATTAGATTCAACTTTTTTTTTTTAGAAAAACTTAGGAGTGTGTGGAGATAAATATTTAAGTGTATGAATAGCGCCATCAAAATAATTTGGCCCGTTAGGCTGGCCCAAAACCAGCCACTAGCTGAGTTAGACTAGGTTTGGCGTTGTTCTAGGCTTCTAGCCCATTTAAGTGTGGGGCTTTCAGCCCAGCCCAAGTTAGGGCATGGCCTTATGTAAAAAAATTCAGAATATGCACTTTTTGGGTTGAATTTTAATTTTTGACCCCCACTCATGGGCAGAACTTTAAGATCAAAAGTTAAAAGCATTGCTTATGGGGCAAGCAAGTGGCAACACTTGTTAAATTTGAAGTTCTGTCCATGGAAGCAGGAGGGGACGGGCGCAAAAATTTAAGACTATCCACTTTGAAGGCTATTTGTATACTTCATCTGCCTTATGGGGTTGGGTTGGGCTGGGCTGAGACATTAATAGCTTGTTTGGCCTAACTTTAAAAATCAGCTTATTTTGAGAAATATTTTTTCTCAAATGCACTTTTAGTAAGAAGCAGTTTGTGTTTGGCTAATTACTTTAAAAAGTATTTTTGAGCACAATTAGTGTTTGACTAAGCTTCTAAAATATGCTTCAAAGTGAATTTTTCTCAAAAGTATTTTTGGGGAGAAGTTACTTTTTTTCTGCTTCTCTAAAACTGCTTCTGCTTCCACTAAAAAGCATTTTTTCCCTAAAAGCTTGGCCAAACACTTCAACTTTGGAAAAAAAATAACTTTTTATGGAAAAAAATAATACTCTTGGCTTTGGAGAAGCTTGGCCTTACAAGCTATACCATTAAAAAAAAGAGAATAAGACTTAAAATGTAATTATTCTAATTAAACAAGTAGAGGAAAAGTAGATTATTGGATGATTTTAATAGATACAAGACCTATAAGAATTCATTATACAAACTACAACTAATTTAGGTATTACAAATTACGCAACTAAATTATTTACATGTTATTTTATTTATACCCCAATCGAGATTATTGCTATGAATAAAAAGCTAAAAATAGGGAGATTTCCCATATTAGGGGTAACCTCTTTGCTTACCTAAAAACCCTCCAGCACAATTGGCTAGCATTATAATTCATTTTCATTGTTATTTCATCAAAAATCAATTTTAGATTGCATCCAATATATAGTTTATAAGTATGGTATAGTACATAATATGCATAATTAATTTTCCCTGTTAGCTAATATTTGCAAGCTCCACATTCTACTTGGTGTTCATCGAGTAATTGTATCATTTTTGCATATTGGAATACACATATTCTAAAACTTGATAGCCATCAAACCTTTTTATACAATGCATTTCATATTTAAAAGAATTAATATCATAGAAATTCCCTAAACTATCACGTTTTTGTCAGTTTTCTAATTAATTTTTTTGATATCCCCAAAACCTCCTTGAACTATATTTTCCTCGTATTAAAACCCCCTCGTTGCCTTCTTAAAGGTGCATCTATTACACGTTCCTAATTATCTAAAAAACATGTCATGTGGCACCACACGTGGCTACTTAATTCAACCTAACATTCCTCTAAATTATTACTCCCAAAATCCCCTATGAACTATATGTTTCTATATATTAAAACCCCATATTGAATTTTTAGAAGTGCACCTATTGATCTAACTATGTTAACTTATGGTTTGTACTAAATTTTTCATGTAGTTTACTCATGATGTGTTACTCTTGGGTGACTGATTAATTTGAGGAGTTTCGGTCAAGATAATATCTAATGTAATGTGTTAATTTTAGGTTTAATTGTGGTTGTGCTTTATGCGAGACTCCAATTGAATATGTCCTTATTTGCATTCACTTTGCAGTACAACAAAAAAAACTAAAGGCATATAGTGTTGTATTTCTGAAAAATCATCTTATGTTGCATAAACAAGATTACACAAAATAAGATTTAGCAAGTAAAAAAATAACTGGTCAGCAACTACACTTGCTAATTCTAGACTGCACAAACAAGATTCAGGATAATCAACTTTATTCTCTATATTGTATTGGTTTTAATAAAAAGAATTAAATGAGTGTTATTTCAATAATATGTGTAAGACATGAAAGAAGATTAAAACAAGAAAGTGAATAAATTATTTCAGAGGAAACATGTGAGGGAGAAATTTTTTCAGAAGGAATCCTGTAGGCATATAAATTTTATTAAAATTAAATCCATAAAATAATTTGAACTATATTTTAAATTCAAGATATATTGGTCCAAATAAATATTATGCGCTAATATAATTGAATTAATTATATATATCCAATATATATGGATTAAATAAATAAGTCTTAATCTATTGGGTTGGCCTACTTAATTGGGTTAAAGTTATGCGCCCACTTTATTAAGCCCAAGATGTCATCTTCCTAGAGGCCCAGTTTGGTGCCACGTGTTAAATGACGTGGCATGCCAAGTCAAGAGGAAGAGACAATAGGAACGTGCCACGTGTCAAAATAACAAAGCATGACAAGTCACATTAAAAGGCCAACAAAATCGCGCCACATGTGCAAGTGACATGTTCTGGCCAATCAAGGGTGGCCTTGTTGCTCTTCAAACTGATTGGTCGGAAAGAGTTTGTTCTTATCATAACTCTTCCCTCCTACAACTATAAATAAGGGTCTTCATAACTCAGGAAAGCCATCAGAAGTGATAACAAAAGGCAAGAGAGCTCTTATGAATCAAACGCCACAAATTTCTCTACAAGTTTCAAGCTTCAAACAATCAAGTTCAAGTCCAAGTTTAAGAAATCAACTTCAAGTTAAAGAAGGAAGAACAAATCAAGTTCAAGCTCAAGAACGAAAAACAAATCAAGATTCAAGGAGTACGAGTTCAAATCAAAGTTCGTGCTAGTTGAATCCAGGATCATCGTCCGTGGAAAAAATATAGATTCAAGATCAAGCTCAAGGGCCCTTGAATTTATTTACTATTAGAAAGAAGAATCAGAGGATTTATAGAGATTGTAACTCTTAAATATTTGAAATAAAATACTACAATTGTTGCAATATTTTCCGATTTTGATTTTATTTTCTCGATGCAATTTATTGTCTACAAATTCTAGCACGCCCAGTGGGACAATCTCTACCTCTCATCTCAACTTTTCAATCACCAAATTTTAAGAACATCAAAATGGCTTTAAAGAAAATCAACTCCAGTTCAACTTCCACCAAGGCTGCTAATTCCAGGTTCTATGCTGATGTGGAAAACATCCTCGATGTTACCTTTGGAAGCTTCGGACCAGTAATAATGTGCAAAGCAAGCTCGTTAGGACAACAAACACCCCAAGTGACATCCGCATCAACCCCTATTTTCGGATCTTCATCCTCAAAAGGTGCAAGATCTTCCACAAACGCACCTGAAGGAGGAAGCGATGTTGCTGAAAAGATCAAGGAAACTCTTGCTCTTCTTGACCTCTCCGAATCCAAGCACTCTGCTATGAAGGAAGATTATAATGCTTCAAGTGATGGATCCTCCCCACTTACACCACATAGCGTAAGCCAATCAAGGATCAATCTGTGTGAAAATTCATGCTACTCTCCATCGTCCACGACAATCATGCAAGCCGTGGTGACAAACACTTATCTGTGGAGGAGCAGTTGGCAAACTTGACGGAAGCAATCGCTTGCTTGACCAAGTGCATGCAAAATCAATATGCTAGAATCGACAAGCTAACAGATAGTGTGGGAATCTTGATGGAAGAAGAATCTACCCACGCACCTGGCAAGATCCCAGAAGTTCCAGAGAGTGATTCTCCCCAAAGACAAATAGCATCCACTA